GCTATCTCGGCGGCAGCCTCGGCCAGCCCAGCTGCAGCCAACAGGGCCCCAGGTGCCCGCAGGCGCCGGTGGAAGCGATCCAGCGCCCGGACCAACAGCGAGTTGTCACCACCACCCTGCTCCTGTGCCAGTCGCCGTTCCACCAACTCAAAGTAGCGCCCACCCAGCTCCCGGGCGAAGGCAGCCAGTTTCTCCGCACCCGCTGGGCCCTGAGCGGCAAACAATTCCTGGTAGGCCCCTGCCACCTGGCAGAGACCTCCCACAAAGCCGCTGCCACCGTGGTCCGTGAACTCTAACACGTCAGGAGCTGGAGGGGACGGCCCCAGCTCAGCTTCCAGACTTCTCAGCTCCTCTTCCAGCCGCCCACGGGCGTGTGCCAGGAACTCCTCGCATAGCTCCTCCGCAGGTTCTCCCAAGGCCAGCAGCAGCTCCACGCACTCAGCCTGCTCTGGGGCACCTGAGCCGCCCTCCCTGAGGTAAAGGACATGACAGTAAAAGGGCCTGGCCAGGGGCACTGGCAGGAGTGTGGCAACTGAGAGGAAGGCAAAGCAAGGGGCGAGGCAACAGCTTGTGAAGGGCCCAGAAGCCCAGAGTGGATGGGGCTTGGGGCCCAGCGGGAAGGCTGGAGTGATTACCTGAAGCGCTGCCGCAGCTGCTGGGCCAGGCGGGCAGTGATGACCTGACAGTCGTCCTGGATGGCACGGAATGAGGGCAGGTGCTGGTACTGCTGCAGCACAGCCCGGGCACGACCCTGATAGCGCACCGCCTGCCCATAGGCACCCAGCTCCACGCACTTGGTGAGGCGCGAGGGCAGCTCAAAGAGGAACTGTAGTTTCCGCAGCAGGGCATGGACCCCTAGGGACCCAGAAAGGCGGTGTCAGCCACCAAACCCTGACGGTGGCCCACTGCAAGACCTAGCTGGGACCAGCAGTTAGCCTAATGGCTATGTCGCTGGACTCCCACGTAGTCAACCGTGGTTCAAATCCTGGACTGGGTGGCTTAAACTCATGCCGGGCATGTGTGCGTGGGTGCCCAAGATCCCGAGAAGAGAATGGAGGAGAAGGGATTGCGGCGTGGCCATCCCCCCTGGGGGGTGATTTCTCGCTTTCTGTCTCTCTGTCTCTGTCTGTTTGGCGAGTGCGCGCGCCCTATAGCAAAAAAAATCTCTCTCAAAAAAAAAGACCTAGTCTGGGTGATGCCCACCTGCCAGCTTGGTGATGCGCTCGTGGCGGTCCTGCAGTGTGGCGCTGATGCGAGCGCTGAAGTCGGTGATCACTGCCATGTTGGTGGCCAGTCGGTCCATCTCGTCCTCCATCTTCCGGAAGTCATTCTTCATCTTCCGGATTGTGTCTGGGAGGCCAAGGGCCAGCGAAACGGCACAGGAAATGATTAGAGAGGCAGGCAAAGAATTGAAGCTCTCACTCACACCCCCTTCACAAACAACCTGGAGTCCTACTGATGACTGGGTGTGAAGTGGCTGTGAGGGTGCTTGGGCATGGGGCTCATTGTGTCCGTTTTCACAGGCCTGTCTGCTCTGTGCCCCAGCCCCTACCCTGAGTGCCCAGCGGGAGACAGCTACTGGGGCTGCAGCCCTGCTCTCACAAAGTCCCCAAATCTGAAGGGGGGCCATGCCACCTAGCACTGGCTGAAATGGCTTTTATTTTTTTCTTAAGAATTATTTTATTTTATTTTATTTTTTAATTTGACAAGATAGAGAGAGAGAGAGAGAAAGAAGGGAAGTAAGAAAGTAAGCCAGCCGCCAGGTCCAGGACTGGAACTACTGTTGTCCGTGTGGGATTCCAGGGCCCTTAACCACCACACCACCTGCCAGCCCAGAAATGTTGTTTTCTTTAAATACTCCATTAGACTGAGCTGCTCGCTCCCAAGGGCATCCTCCCTGTCCAGCAAACCATCCTACTTCTGGGAGACAATAGTTGTTCTTCCTATCTCCTCTCCAGAAACCCCCACCCCAAACCCTTTCACACTGCTTGCTGGGGTGAGGTCTATCTTTTCTGAAGGGTCCTTTCCCTTTTGTCTCGACAGAACCGGCCTAAGAAGGCTATTCTTTTTACACTAAGGTTCCCTAGGGTCTAGCCCCTTAATGCTTCTAGACTGTCTTTTTCCCTCTTCTCTTCAAAACTCTAGCTTTCAGGCTGGCAGGTGGTAGGTTAAGGCACTGGACTTCCATATGGCTAACCATGGTTCAAGTCCTGGACCTGGCAGCTTGCTTTTTCACCTTTTCCCACTCCCTCTCTCTGTCTCTCTCTGGTCAAGTTAAAAAATAATGATAAATAAAATTGAATAAATAACTCTTAAAAAAAACCTCTACCTTCTTTAAAGACCTAACCCTTCATGCTTATCTACACTGCTCTGTCTCTCCTTTCCGTTCCTGACCACTGCTTCCTCTCATCTCCCTTCTTTCACCTACTTATGAACATCACCATCCATACTTATGAGCTTTTGAACATTCTTGACTGTTCCCTGGTCTCCCCAGTTTCATCTATTCTTGCCCCTGCCTCATTTGGGCCACCTCTCCTTGCCATTGCCAAGAACTACGCTCTCTAAAGTCTCAGCTTTAAGCACACCATCTTCTGTAATTCCAATCACTCACCTAGTATACTCACTAACACAATCCTTTGGTTGGTCTCTTGGGTAACTCTAGACACATAGTCTTAGCACTTCTTCACTATTCATAATGCCCTTCATGGCTGCACTTCCACCCCTACTCCTCTACGAATCTGTGGTCCCCCAATCAGCCTCATCACTTATTCTCAAGCCCCTTTGTCTCTTTCACCCCTCCCTCCATTACTTACAAGACAAAACCCAAGTATGAGTTAAACTCAAGTAGTCACTTACTCATACCTGAACTTCTGAAGTTGGACCATAAAATCACTATCCTTTCAAGTTTTTATGACCTCAAGACCCAAAGTGGCACTCCACAATGCTTGGCCATTCCTCAAGATATTCTGGTGGGTTTGTTTTTCCATTTTCCAAAGTAACACTTCTCTTCAATCCTCAAAACTCCAATACATGCTCACTAATGCTCAGTTGAGGATCCTGCTTCACACTTCACAGAGAAAATAAAAGCAAACACTAACTCCCTCTAAATCTATAGAGCAAACAAATATCTGCACACAGTCAAGACTTCTGCTCTTGCTCTCCCTCTGCCTAAATAGTCTCATCCAGTCCCGCAGTGGTGGTGACTTAAGACATGTGTGCCTCTGATTTTTTTGTTTTTTGTTGCTCAGTTGAGGATCCTGCTTCACACTTCACAGAGAAAATAAAAGCAAACACTAACTCCCTCTAAATCTATAGAGCAAACAAATATCTGCACACAGTCAAGACTTCTGCTCTTGCTCTCCCTCTGCCTAAATAGTCTCATCCAGTCCCGCAGTGGTGGTGACTTAAGACATGTGTGCCTCTGATTTTTTTGTTTTTTGTTTTTTAAAGAATCATTTTTTATTTAACTTTATTTATTTTAATTTAACCAGAGAGGGACAGATCAAGAAAGAGAGAGAGAGGGAAAGTGAGAAAGCAAGCCATCAGGTCTGGGACTAAAATCACAGTCGGCCATGTGGGAGTCCAGCCCCTTAACTCCTACACCACCTGCAAGTCCCCCCTTTTATTTTAAAGAGATTTTTGCTATAGGGTGCATGTACTTTCTGGAGAGACAAAGAGAGACAGTGAGTAATAACCCCTCCAGGGAGGATGGTCATGTTGTAATCCCTTCTCCTCCATTCTCCTCTTGGGATTTGGGGCATGCATGCAAATGCACCCAGAGTGAGTTTTAAGTCGCCGGGTTGGGACATGAACCATAGTTGACTATGTGGGAGTCCAGTAATGTAACCATTATGCCATCTGCTGGTCCCTGTGCCTCCAGTTCTGAACACAGCCCTGCCTAACGACCTAGTGAACAACTCAAAGTGCATGGCCCACAGGCAGCTCCCGTGTCATGCAGCTTTTTTTTTTTAATTATTTTTTAAAATTTAACTTTATTTTAATTTGACCAGAGAGGGACAAAGCAAGAGAGAGAGAGAGGGAAAGAGAGAAAGCCGCAAGGTCCAGGACTCAAATCGCAGTTGGCCATGTGGGAGTCCAGCACCCTTAATCGCCATGCTACCTGCCAGTCCCTCATACAGTCTTGTGATTGAAGAAGCACAGATGAATTGATAAAATGTAATCAAACAGTTTTTATTTCATGAATGTAAGGATAGATTATTAGAGGATACATGAAAGACAGACACCATGGCCTGGTGGTTAAGGTGCTGACTCCCACATGGTCAACTGTACAGTTCAAGTCTTGGACCCAGAGACTTGAGAGACACACTGGGCGTGCGTGTTTGTGTGTCTCTGTGTGTGTGCATGCATGCTCAAATTCTCAAAGGGAGAGATAGATGGAGAAGGGATTGTGGTGTGACTATTCAAGGTAGTTGCTTCCTCCTCTCTCTCCCAGTTTCTCATGGCCGACCACTGTTCAAGTCCTGGACCTAGTGGCTTGCTTTTTCACTCTCCCCTGCTCTCTCTCTAGGAAAAACAAACAACACTTTCTCAACAACACATGAATAGCTGGGACTATTTGGTGCTGTAGTGATAAAACACGATACTTTATGAAGCAGAGCTGCATGTGAAGGTTACTACTTTACCTCTGGAGACCTCCCTAAGTATGCCTGGCATACCTGCACCCATGATTCAGGCTGGCTGAAGCTGGGGTGGACCATGGCTAAAGATTTTGTTGAAAGTGCTGAATCTCTGTTCCTCTCTCTGTGCATCTTTCACTCATGGGATAAATAAACTTGAAAGAAATAGAAATAGGTGACTATTCCCCTCACCTCCAAATATCAGCATTTGTGTGTGTGTGTGTTATGTGACTATTCCCCTCACCTCCAAATATCAGCAGTATTTGTGTGTGTGTGTGCTATAAGGCACATGTGTTCACTAGAGAGACAGAGATAGAAAGCAAAAAATCACCTCCCAGGAGGGATGGCCATGCCACATTCCCTTCTCCTCTATTCTCCTCTCTGGATTTTGGGCACACACGGACACTCACCTGGCCTGAGTTTTATTTAGAATTTATTATTTTTTTGATTTGTTATAGGGCACATGGGCTCACCAGAGAGAGAAAGAAAGCAAGCTGCCAGGTTCAGGACTTGAACTGCAGTTGGCCATGTGGGAGTCCAGCACCCTTAACCACCGTGCCACCTGCGGCCTCCCTGGTGTGAGTTCTAAGCTGCCAGGTCTGGGACTCAGACCACAGTCGACTACATGGGAGTCCAGCGACATAACCATTATACCATATGCTGGTCCCATCAGCAGCATGTTTAATGAGGCCAGGCAAGAAGCATTCCCATTGAAATAGCAAACATGGGGACCAGCAGTTGGTGTAATGGCTAAGTCGCTGGGATCCCCTGTAGGAGTCCCAGACCCAATGGCTTAAACTTATGCTGGGCAGGTGTGCATACGTGCCCAAGATCCCAAGAGGAGAATGGAGGAGAAAGGATTGCAGCGTGGCTATCCCCCCTGGGGGGTAATTTCTCGCTTTCTGTCTCTCTGTCTTTCTCTTTCTGGAGAATGCATGCACACTATAGCAAAAACCTCTCCAAAGGGACCAGCAGTTGGCACAATGGCTATGTCACTGGACTCCCATGTAGCCAAATGCGATTCAAGTCCCAGACCTGGTGGCTTAAACTCACGCTGGGTGTGGGATTGTGATGTGGCCATTCCCACTGTGAGGTGATTTCTCGCTTTCTGTCTCTTGATTTCTGTTTGTCTTTCTGGGGAACACATGTGCCCTACAGCAAAAACCTCTCCAAAAAAAAAGAAAAATTCTAAAAAAAAAAAAAAAAAAAAAACCTTCTCAAAAAAAAAAAAAAAAAAAAAAGAAAACATGGCAAGGATGACCATGATTTATTTAACATTGTTCTGGAGCTACTAGCTAGCACAATGGGATTCAAAAACTACACTATGGATGGCCAGCCCTGTAGACTTGTGGTTAAGGAAGCTGGATTCCATATAACCACCTGCAGTTTGAATCTTGGCCCCAGAGGCATGAGAAACATGCCAGGCATATATGCATACGTGCTCAATCCCAACAGAGTAGAAGAACAGAGAACAGCAGCATGACCATACCCCATTGGGAATTGATTTCTCCTTCTCCCTCTGTCTCTCTGGAGAGAAAAATGTGCCCTCAAGCAGAAAAAGAAAATTGTAAAATAATGAGGTTGGGTAGTGGCACAGCTGTGTCCACAAGAGAAAGGTCCTGGGTTTGCATTTGGGGACCTCCCTGAGCATGTGAGGTATGCACATATGTGCTCAGGATCCACACTGGGGTGTGGGTGGGTGAACCATAGTGA